TATCGAATTTCCGAGAGGTTCGCCATGTCGATCTTTCTTCGAATTTGTCCATAGGCGGCTTTATACTTGTTCCAGTTGATTAGCAACTTGTCCATCATCTCTGTTGCGCCCGGCGAGCTTCTGGTCATGGTCTTGCTTTCCTCAAGCAAATTCTGCAACACCTGTTCCGCGTTCTCTAATTCCTTCACAAGTTTTGCATTTTCGGGCTCATTCTTCACTTTGTTCCAGTACCGGTCTCTAGCAGCCTCGTATTCATTATAATCCACCAGCTTAAACCAGTGGCCGCACCTGCAACGTGTTGGAATGCCTTTGTAGAGGAGCAGGTAGCTGATGTGATGATTATCGTCATGACCTGGGAGGGGGGGGGGAAGAGAGGAGATAAAAGCAAATAATCGTTGTGGGAATGGCAACTGAAAACTCGTACCACACTAGGTATAAATCGAAAAACAAGAAACAGGAAAAGAACAGGGGTTGCTACAAAATCAAATCAAGGAGAATCTGAAAGAAGTCCAACGACACAGCAGGTGTGGAGATATACTGACCGAATCGAAGAAATAAATTTGGCAAAAAGTAAACATTAACTTTTTATAGTACTTCCTATTTCAGGTCCCACCATGTCCGATAGATAAGAATTGATCAAGAGACCTGAATCGCCCACGGCGGTAGCGTCAACAGCCGGTGCCGGAGTGCAAATTCGACACGCCGCGTAATACCCCTCTTGGCACGAAGTCAGTGACCCGACTTAAGACGATGGGTGAAAGAATAGAATCATGCAAAACGCCGTTCTGAATAGTGAGCAGTTGTGAAACAGAATTCACGCACGGGTGGAACGACTGCTGACCACAGTATAGCCGATTTTTGCCGACTTACCGTTTACATCTATTATTTGCTACAGCGAGTCAAGATTAAAGGCGCTGGACGCCATAGCAAAGTGGACAAACCAAACAACCGTCGGCTGCTGCTGGTAACCACAGCTGAACTCAGGAATGTGCCGTGGCATGTAAATCCTTGTCGAATTCGAAGTCTGGTTTTGGTCTTGTCATAGGTTCGGGTGCCCTGTGAAACCGGCTGAAAGTGACAACAACAAAAATATTTGGAGTGCTGTCGATGATGTTACGGGGCGGCTTAAGTGCACGCTGCCCGAACGATATTCCCACGCCAAGCGTCCATTCTGCTCACACCCAACGCACGACGCAGGACTCTAACGCAAGCCAGACAACCGGTCCGGCCACGCAGACAAAGTGCATTGACTGACACCTGCGCCCAGCTCATGCCAAACGGTAGACTAACACGCCAACTCTCATGGCTCACCCAGCCAATGAAGTCATGTCTTTCTTGTAACTACCATCTAATTGGTCCAACCTTGTACATACGTGTTCGCTTGCTCTTAAGTATGCTGTACTAGGTTTGCTCTAAGATTTCTACTTTAGTCCGCTTGTCATTTTTTCTCTTTGGGGCTCACATGAGGCGTAGTTAGACGGCGAATATTTCAGCTTGGCCACCGTTACAACAGATGAGACCTAAACCACGCTAGTTCTCACGGTTAATTTTTTTCTCCCTCACTAAGCGAGGATATCGATAGCAGACTTGTAGGCATTAGCAGGGATAAAGTCTTCTTCAGACGTTTTGTTGTAACGTGGCATCAGTAACTTAGTGATAATTTTCCTAATGAGAGGGAGACTCATACGACATGGGTCGGTATCGGATAGAAATCTGCCGCAGAGGGCATGAGACTAAAAAAAGCAATCGAATTTAAAGGTGCTTACGCCAGAGCC